CACACACACACACACACACACACACACACACACCATCACCCACATTTCAGCCAGTCCATTACACAACAAGCAGACTGGCTCCAGTAGTCACCTAATTAGATCTCCTTCCCTCCTGTCCAATGCAAAGCCTCCGTCTACTTTTTTTTTCTCAGGTTCCAGCTAAAAGCACAGTTACCAGGGTGTGAATTACATCTAACATGGAGTTGCAGTCACCTAAATTAAAAGAGTAAATACTTATAATCTGCCCAGTAAGTAACAGGTCCAGTCTAACACGCCTATGTTAAACAAGGCAGTGAATAAGCAGGCCAGGGTCTTTCCAACCATCTGGACCCTCTTACAGCTTGGCCCTCACCCAGGTCTGACTGGAGGCTATGCTATCATCAGCTGAGTGAAGCCCCAAGGCAGGCAAGGTGCCAACACAAAGACCCCAGACTTGAGCTGGGACTGGAAGCCCCCGCGTAGAGGACCTCCGTGGAGGAAAAAACAGGCTCAGGCTATCTTTATTCCATCCCCAGCCTGAGTCCCTTCTCTTTTTTAAGAGATGGCAGCACAAGAAAACATGTTCACAGTGGGGGAAAGAAAAGGAACAAACCTGTTGGCCGAGAGCATAAGTAAAAACACATAGTTTCTGAGCCGCGTCTGGGAAGTTCTGGCCGAAGGGATTGAAGTAATGTCTGATATTAAAAGTGTCAGCGGCAGACTTCACCCGCGAAGCTGGATTGGGTGTCTAGAGTTATGGCCTCCTAACAATACCTTCTTGTTCGATTGGGTTGAGCTCAGAGCAAATATATGACAGGAATTGGATCACAAGTCGTCCAGGGAGTGCGTCTGTATGTGTTTACTGTATAAAAAGGTCTTCGTCTTGGCTTCCCTGGGTCTGCGTGGTTGGAGGCTCTCTGTAGACTCGGTACTGCCCATGTCCTGGCAGGTTTGGTGCTGACGGCTTTGTTTTCTACTGCAGTGTGGATGGTTAGCAGACCTGTTTGTGTATGAAAGCAAATTCAATGTGCCAGTGTCGTGTGATAGAAAGCTTTGATCCATTAAGAGCATTCATTGATTTTCATGGCTGTCATGTTTATTTCTCTTCTTGTCAAGTTAACCACTTTTATTTTCAGTAAAAAAAGAAAAATTTAATTTTTTTCTGTGGCTGATGTTTTACATAACTGATTTTTTTAATGGTAGCCAAGAATCAAAGGTGTGTGTTGTGGTTGGCTGGTAAAGTGAGGCCAGGTGTGGGGCTGGCTCTATCGAGGCTGACGTCAAAGTGAATGGAGCATCTTGTTTCTGGGTCAAGCACTGCTCTTATATTTATTCCCCCTGTTGTGTTGAGATTCACATCTGCTCATGTGTTCCTGTTTCTTAGATGATGAGCAGAGAGGGGCCATATTGTAGCCTCGCCCAGTCACAGCCCAGCAGTAGTCCTGTCTAAGATATAAGACTCAAGACTGACTGTCTGCATTATTGTAAATGTAGACGGTTTGACACAAAAGCAGATCAGATGTTCATGCAGAATGCTCCAGATGGTGCAGGTAGCTGTCAAAGTTCCAGAAGAATCTCACAACAATGTAAAAAATGCTTCACCATCCCATTATTGATAAAACATACCTATAATAATAAGCTGTAGAAATATTTGTACACCTGCCTAAACAGTAATTGCAAGAAAAGAGAAATAAGAATGTTGGTTCAGTAAAATGTGCACCATACACCACCACTTTGTATTGAGAATGGATGCAGAAATCTGTTTACAAAACAGTTGATTACCTGTGGAATTCGGACAAAAGTATGAATTGCTGGCATGTTTCATAATAAACACAGTAACATCCGATTAAATGTCTTATATATCTGAAAATTACTGTTTTGACATTATGGCTAACAAGATTTCTACGACAAAAAAACAGTATAGTAAGAACTTTTAAAGCCTGTGTTACTGGAGATTAGGTCTAAATTGTATCTCTTCTCCCTGACTCTTGTTTTTGTACTCTTAAATGTGGCTTTCACTCAAACCTGGCTGTATAATTAAATCTTGGAAAAGCTAACAGGTCGGATTATAAACTGTAAATAAAGATGGACGACATGCCAGTTCCCAAATGTGAGGCCAAAGCATCTCAATTGCCCCCTGGTGTCCCGCCTCCTCCACGTTAGCAGGGACATGGACCAAATCAAAAGGTCAAAGTATGCTACACGTCAAATTTTAGGTAAATTTCGTTTTAATTAGTTATGTGATGCTATGAAAACAGGGTGAAATGTCATGATTGACAGCTCAGACCGACTCATGACTGGCCGAGCATGCTCTCTACAGTGACTCCACCCTGATTGCTAGAGAACAGACTCTGGCTCAAAATGCACAAGATGGAGTTGTTCGTATCTGGGAACTGTGGCTTCATTTCTTGTTGGTGGGAAGAAGTGGAGATGCTTCATCTATGGGTCAGATTCTCTGTTAGCCTGAGCTATGAGCTGTAAGGTGGGAGTAGTGAAGATACCAACCACCACAAGATGAAGATTCTATAGCAATGCTAGCTGCTCTGTTAGTGTATACTTACTTTGAGTATAGTGATAAATGCTAAAATCAGTATGCTAACATGCCCAAAATGACAATGTTAGCTAATGATTAACTTACAGGTAATGTTTCAAGAAAGTATTATGTTAAAATCATCATTAGCTTGTTAGCATGGTCATATTAGCAACTACTACTACAGCTGAGGCTGTGGAGAATGGCATACGTTATTTGACTCAGAAATCATAGTATTCAGCTAATTGAAAGTTTGACCAGATGGTGGCACTAGAAGAAACATTAAGGGGTCACCTAAGTTAATGCTATTCATCCTGAGGGTGACATGAAGGAAAGCCTCCAATGGTAAGGCCACTAAAATTCAAAATATTAAAATTGCACCTCATAGTAATTTATTCAATAGTTTTTGAGATATTTCATTCTTGCCCCAAGCAGTGGACAAAGCATCCTACTATCCTGGTGGAAAACGAGCACTATAGGTGTTGGCGTACATCTGGTGAGGTCACTATGAATCAGAGTTATGTCATGTTGCCCTGGCTTCTCCAGTTGACATGGCTGTTTTAGTAATTGGATTGATGGCATGGTCTACCGCCCACAGAGTGAATGTATGGGAGAACATAGAATACTCCAGAACAGGGGAAGACTCCCTACACGGAACTGGCTTTACTTTATACACAAGATGATAGTACTCCCTAAAGTGCAGGCTTATAGATTCTGCAGTCACCACACTATATATCATAGTGTTTTGGTGAAAGCATGTGCTACATATGGCAGCATGCTGCAAGTGGAGCCAATACTGAAAGCCTGATCCCCTGCTTATATAAAAAAAAGAAAAGCACACACATGGCCCTTGATTCAAATCTGTTGCTGTCTCAGAGAGTGCAGATGAAAGGTGCATCATTCACGTGGAAGAATAAAGTTGTTGTCAGTCTCTTAAGCAGTTGGTGATGGACAGAGTAAAACGCGGCAGTAGAGTTTCTTTTTGATTGCCCTCCAGCTTTCTTTGGCCTGCTGTGCCGCTCAGGGCCCCATCCCAACTCTGAAATAACTCCTTGAGCAGAAAAATCTCTCTCCCTCTCTTGCTTACTTCTGCCATCACAACATTAAACCAAAATTCTGAGTGTAGCATGTTTCTCTTATTCCATCATGTCTCCACATGAGTTCGCACCAACATTTGTTGTTACATTTTTATTGTGACCTCCTTTGGATTTTAAAGAAAGCACATTTTAAGCCCGAAAGAGGAAATTAGATTTCCATGGATGCAAAATCTGTCTTTTATGTGAAATAATTATTGAAGCATTTCAAAAACTCTATAAAACAACCCTTCTGCATTATTTGTTGAGTCATTTATCACAGTCAGTCTTGAGATCTAAACCTGATCTTGTGTGTAAAACACATTAGATGCTCTTTTTGTTTTGTTCGACATGTGTGAAGCAGCTGGTAAAGTATCAAGGACCAACATGTGTTAACGTTCTCTGACCTCCAAAACAATACCCAGAAAAATGCAGGTTCACCATCTTTGGCTAATAGATACAAGCCGTCTCAGTTTGCTTTTAGCGACACACCGCAGAATATTCAAACATGGCAGACCCGATCTTACAGGAGGATTTGTTTTCTGCTTTCAGACAAAAACACATGCTAGTTCAAGAAGCTGGCTCAAAGGTAGGTATCCAGCTCTGTAATATGCGCTCTAATCTAAACAAGCCACATGTAGTATCTGTTTTCATCTCTGGCAGATGAGATTTATTGTGCATAACCAATGTTTGAATTGCTCAGTTAAAGGTTTGTCATGGTGTGTACACTGCATAGGACAGTATATATGCAGTAAGAAGTCATGAGTCCAAGCCAAGCACATGATAGAGCCACAAACCACAGAGTCACAAGGACTTCCCTGCTGAATAGCGATGCTAAATGCATTAGCATCAGCAGAGTCACTGTAAATACAGTATAAGTCAATTAACTGTTTACAGATAATTTACAGCAGTTTATTTGATGAAAAAGAATTTCATGATAATCACATGAGTAATATCAACCTAGTTAAATAACACATTTATTCTGCAGCTTTGAGGGGATGAAATAACCAAAATAAAAGAAAGAAAATATTATTCCAAAGGTTAAAAAAATACTGAATAGAACCAAGATTCCTGAGTGGCGTCCTCTGTTTTACAAGAACAGGAGGTTCTTAAGACACTGTCATTTCTAGTGTTGTCACTGAGCCGGGGTTAGAAATTACGGCAACACAGACAGCCAGAGCCCTCCTCTGCTTTATATGTCGTGTGTGTGGATTTGTAGAGGTTGCACAGTTCACAGTTCAGGGGAATAACACTCCCCTGGCAGCCCTGCAGAGAGTT